TAAATTACAAGAAATTGATCTACTGTTTTTCTTGTTTACACCTGTTTCTATGGAACTAGGGTTCGAAACCTCCATTACAAGTAACTTAACATCGAGCTCTTTTGTGAGGTACAAGTAGACTTAGTTTTGACGAGTGATAAAACTTCTGATGCTACATATAATCAGATAAACGTTAAATTGAGTCATTGGTCCTACGATATCCTCACCAATTCAATTTTCCAGGAAATTGTTGAATTTTGGAAATATCTGCAAAGGATCTCCAGAACAGCTTTTGACCTCGGGGCTGTAAAAATTAAATGTTTGATTCGTTAATGTCACTCTGCAAACAAAGGCCACAAAAGAACAAGCAAACGTTAATGTTTTGTGTTCATTAAGCAGGTTTCTTTTTATCTTTTGTTTGTGATCGGTTCGAATGGTATACGATTGTTTTTTGGTTGACAACAAACGTCGTGTTCGCTTCAAGTCCTTTGAACAGACATCGACAAGGATCCTGTGCTGGTCACGGCTTACTGTTGTGGAGAAATATGTTTGGCATCTTCTTCAGGATCTGATTCATATTGGCTTCGGAAAGAAAAAAAGATTAAAAGCTATGCTTTTTTAGATACAATACGTTGTCTTTAGGCAAAATTGTCAACGAGCACTTGTGCAGGGTATATCTAGAACGGAACTTAAACTTAAGAATCCTGCACACAGCATTCTGCACAAAGGGAAAAAATTCTTGAATGGACACACCATCTTAGCACAGTCATTCAAGAAGAGCCTGCCAAAATTACCGGCGAAATTTAAAAGCGTCCTATTACACCACTTGACCACGGAGCTATTTTAAAGAGTAATCTTCAATACTTCAATCTGAATCTGCTACAAAAGACAACGCAATGTGTTTACCGTGGGATTCCCATTCATCCGTTTATTCGTGGTTCGTTTGAATGGTGGGTGCTTCTGTGTTTGACAAGAAGTTTTTCGCTTTATTTGTTCAGGCGTTGACAAGCTGAGAACCTTAAAATAGGTAGTTCACTAATTCAAGCCAGGTGTGAAACGAAAAAAAGGCCTTTATTGTACATGTACGTGATCTAATAAGGAAGCGCGATCTGGAAATGGTACCTTCAGACCCATTGATCAGCGGGTTACGGGGTCAAATAATACAGTACCTAATGCTAGTCATGTGTATTAAGAATACAAAATACCGGAACCACGTTATCAGCGTACTACAGCTTTAACAACGCTTTGTGGTCTATGAAGAGAAAAGATTCAGAGAATAAGGTGTAAATAATTTGCCTTCAACTATTTAATCCGTGAGAAGTGAAAACAGTATCAAAGTTATTGTTCCATAAACAAAATTTGAACAATATTAACAAAAATTAAAAACCAAAACAGATCCACAAGCTATCATTGCTGGTTGCCGAGAGGTTTAGGGGACCAAGTTTCCCATATAATGTTTTTCAAGGGTTGGGTTCCACCGGTGATCTATGCTTTACCCACAAGCTTGCAACGAAAACGGTTATTGATTGATATTATTCTTGCAGACCTAGGGAGCTGCTAACGAATGGAGCCGAGCATAGCTAAGATTCATTTAGAACTACACTTCAGCCAATAAACAGTTGTTATAACGTTTGCATTTTCAGTTCGTACTTCTGAGTCGATGAGTTTTGACTTAAGGCGCGAGAAACGTCGGTGAACACTACTTTAGCTCTTTTATACACAGAAACGTTGACGATTTCAAAATCTGGAATCCATGAATTCTATATTAGAAAAAAAAAAAACTGTTTTGGATGCGCTATAAGACAAAGATAAAAGTATTGTACAAGCAAAAATCGGTGCACAGGCAAATATTGTTTTAGTTCTTAGTCCTCATTTCTCGTTTGTCAATTTGCTCAGCAAGGTGGCCTGGCTACAAATTAGCGCTTAGATTTTTCTCTTCGCTTGTAACGCTGTCTGTGGACTTCGGAAAGTGTCGTACTTTTCACTGCAGCTCAGTTCTTATTTTCATTCATTGCCTTTATTTCTCCGTTTTGCTAGGAAAACGGTTTCTGTCATCCATGCTCCATCGTCATTGTGTTTTTACGATTCCATTCATAAAAATTACTTATTTTAAAACTACTAGTGAAAGAAAATCAAAAGATGATAATCGAAGCGGCAACAAAAACAAAACTCGCGATTAAAGCACTTTTCCCGTTTCTTGTCTCGCTCGACTTACGATTTGTCTTTCGCTCCCGTTCACCTTTTCCCGGTTTAGTCTGTTTCCGTTACCGTTACCGTTAAAATGAATTATCTCATGATCTATGG